CTGTAGTCCAATCCGAAAGGCTCCTACATTATTCTCGAGGCCCGATTCCCCTGATTACCTCTTTCCCAGGCCTCCGTATATACCGAATCAACCAAACCCGAAAACTAAGCCCAGTCCTAAACTCCAGACTCAGCCCCTAGACTGTGCTCTTGTTAAGGAATCTAGAGTTTAGGTTACCATAGTTTGGATCTATAACCAACTCTATGATTCTCTTACCCTTCTTGTGGTAGCTTAGATGAAGATCCTGAACCATACCGAGTCCCAAAAACTCTATGGTTCCCTTCTTGTGGTATAGCTTAGATGAAGATCTAAGTTCCTAAACCCCTAAAACCCTAAGCCCTAAAACCCCCTGAAGCCCCCTAAGCCCTAAAACCCCTTAAAACACCCTGAACCCGAAAAAGCAAGATCCTGAAACAAGAACCCAACCGAGTCCCAAGTCCAAAAGCCTTCGAAGGGACCCTGCGCCCCAGACATCCAAATGGCCGCAGCCATAAATCCCGGACCTTCTGAGTTTAGGGGTTTTAAAAGGGGTTTATAGGGGGTTTTAAGGGGTTTATAGGGGTTTAGGGGGTCTTAGGGGTTTAGGGTTTAGGGGTTTAGGTGGTTTTAGGGGTTTAGGGTTTACGGGCTTAGGTTTTAGGGGTTTAGGGCTTTAGGGGTTTAGGGCTTTAGGGGTTTAGGGGTTTTAGGGGTTCAAGGGTTTAGGGTTCAGGGGTTTAGAGGCTTAAGGGTTGGTCAAAGCTCGAAACCGTTACCCGAGTTGCTAACAGTCCGAAACCCTGAAGCCGTGTTCCCTGAAGGGCTTCAAGCTGCAGCCTTACAACTTGCGGTTCTGGGTCCAGGGCTTAAGGCAAACCTTGGAACTCTAAATCCTGAACCCCGAGACCCCAAATGTAAACCCCTAAGCCCTAGAAACTTGAAAACAATCCTACACCGCCTATACCCCGAAACCCTAAGCACCCCCCCAAACTTAGAAGCCCCATAGCCCGAAGCCCTACACACCGAACTTACCTCACTTGGAGGTTCATGGGTAGTTGTAACTGGGGTTATAAGTAGGGCAACTATAATTATAGCCCATATTAGTGGACTTATAATGACTCCACTTATGACTACCCCTGAACCCTAAAAACCATATAGAACCCTTTAAAGGAACCCTTAAAGGAACCTCTTAAACTCCACTAATAACTACCCATGAACCTCCAAGCAGAGTCGAGCCGCCGAGGTCTCCGTTGCATTCAACGAAAAGTTCAAGAACAAGACGGTGCATTGGCAAGGTGCCCCCTTGCTCCCCGGAAGCTCTGGGTCTTTAGGGATTTGTAGGGTTTTAGGGTCTAGGACGGTTTAGGAAGTTTAGGGTTTACGGGATTTCGGTTTGGAAGGATTCGGTTTTAGGAAGCATGGGCAAGGGTTTAGGCTTTGGGATTCTTGTCACATGCATCCAACAATGGTTCAAACGCCCAGTAACTCGCTTCTCGGCTTTCGGGCACTGGTCACTGTAGGTGAGTATGTAGGCGAGTACACATGATTATTGGGCTTTCGGTTTAGACTTCTGGCTATCCGCATCTAGCCCATCGGCCCATCGTGTCCAGACAGGGAACACTCCTCCGTACAAAACCTGAAGAGGGTCCTGCGTGTACAGACCAGCAGGGCTTAATGTGTACTTAAACCGTATTCCATTAAACCCTAAAGCCTAAGCTCTATAAACCCTAAAGCCTAAAACCCCATGCACCCTAAAGCCTACACCCTATAAACCCTACACTAAACGCTAATGGGTTTCCGATTTCCAGAGTTTACAGGTTAGGACCGATGTGTGGACCGTCGTTCCGGTTGAAGCCCGAGTAACTGCTCTGGCAATCCTAAATCCCATGCCCGACACCGAAACTTTTACTGGGCTCTTGTCAAAGGATTCTATTCAAGTTACCATAATAGATCTACAGTAGACATGGTTTCCTTATTATGGTAACGTAACTTGAATCCCCTAACAAGAACCCGTAGGGTTGGGGGTTAATGATGTAGGGCTTCATCCAAAACCCTATAAACCTAAAACCCCTTCAAAAAGGGGTAGCGAATTCCTAGGTTGGCGACTCCAAGTTTGGAGAGCCCTAAACCGAAATTACTTGGAGCCGTACAGCTCTTAACCCTTCTACGTACCCTAAAAGATATGTGGCCCTAAGCCCTAAACCCTACAAGCCCTAAGCCCTCAACCCCCAACCCACCCCCCTCCCGGCCTCACAAAAAAAGGGACCTTGGTATCCCTGGCCAGGTGCAGTTCGCCACATGGAGGCCTTCTGCGGGTGTTTAGGGTTTGCGGTTAAGGGTTTATGTAGGGTTTAGGGTTTATGGAGGCCTTGGGGGGGGAGTTGACGCTTCGTGACTCCCTGGGGTTGTAGGGCTTTGGGTTTTAGGGGTTTTAGGGTTTAGGGTTTTGGTGATTTTTATGGTTTTGTGTTTACACAGGATCTTAGGGGGTTTAGGGTTCAGGGTTTAGAGCGATTTATGCGTGTTCATGACTTTGGATTCAGGGTCGAAGCGGTGGCTCTGGGGAAAGAGTGTTGCAATCTTGCTTGCAGCATGATCGTTTGCGTAGCTTGTGCTTGCTTGGCTGCATTGGCTACGAACCTAAACCCTACCCCCCCAAAATCCCCAAACCCCCAAATGCCAAAGGTTTAGGGTTTACAACCTGCAATTAGATCCGAAGGCCTCTGCTTCAACTCGCTTGGTTGGTTGGTTTATGGTGAAGGGTTTCGGGGCTTTAGGGGTTTTATAAGTTTTATACGTCCTTTTCAAGGTTTAGGGCTCGAGGGCTCTTTGAAGTCCTGATGGGATACCCCTGTACTGAAACCCCTTGTACAAGTTTCTTGAAGCTACTAATCTAAACTAAACCCCAAACCCCTAAACCCCTAAACCCTAAACCCCTAAGCCCTAGGCCCTAAACCCCTAAACCCCTAAACCCCTAAACCCCTAAACCCTAAACACAAAACCTCTAAACCCTAAACCCTAAACCTATGTTATCATGTATGGTCACTGTACCGCATAAGAAGCCCATGCCCCGCCAAGCTCTGCAACACAAGGTCTTCAGCATATGCCCCTAAGCCCCAGGCCGTAGTGCCTAAACACTTTCATGAAGAGCAATCCCGCCAAGCGCTTCCATCCTCGAAGGAACGCCATCTTGCGGCATTTCGAAGAGAACACGCTATCCCAGGCTCCTTGTCAAGCCTTCTGCAGCTTCGTGCTTAGGGTTTGGGCTTCCTGTTTAGGGCTCACGGTTTAGGGTTTAGGGTTTGGGGTTTAGGGTTAAGGGTTTATAGAGTTTAGGGTCTTAGTCACTCCATTCTTCAAGGTTTAGTTTGGAGACCATCTGCACTCACAGCAACTAAGCTCACGCTGGAATCCTTTTTCCCTGTCCCATCAATAAACCCTATGCCGTGTGACTTTTGTTCGGTGAATCTTGGGGGTTCACATCGCAACATTTGCTTAAGCACCTAAACAACTACCAATACTATCGCGGGGGCTCCTTATTGTAATTATCGTAACGTACATAATACCATAACCAATACTATTTTGAGGGCTCCTTGTTGTACTTCTTGTAGTTAGAATGTCATCTGTGTGGGAAGGCGAGGTGGAATGACTGAGCACCAGAGTGTGCATGTTTCGCCACCCACCGGTGAAAGTAAGAGTTCAATCAGTTCAACCTGACTTATACATAATGTCGGCACAGCCTTGTTTAAGCCGAAGCTCCAAACCCTAAACCTTAAACTTAAGACTTAAACCCCAAACCCTAAACCTAGACCCTAAACCCTAGGCCCTAAACCCTAAACCTTAAACCCTTGAACCTCAAATCTCTAAATCCTCAGGTCACGATGACGCAATACAGCCTGCTTCTGGGCAAGCAAGCGGAACGAGGATGGTGAAAGCCCTAACCACAGAACTTCCAAACCCTACAGCAAACGCTGCTTCTTATAATATATATATATATAGATATATAGATACATACATACATACATACATACATACATACATACCTACGTACGTACATACATACATACATACATACATACATACATATATATATATATATGTAGCTATATGTATAAACATGTCTTTAGGCACACACACATGGTATGCACACATACATACATCCATGCACGCACACACACACACACATGCAGGCATGCATGCATGGATGCATACATACAAATATGTGTTATATATATGTATATATATATACATACATATGTAGGTACTTTGTGCATAAACATACTTTAGCTTCCTGCACAGTCAGCAGTACTTTCAATCTGTTTAAGCTGAAATATACATACCTTCACTCTGCTCTGAGTGCGCAGTCCCCAACCTCAACCTCCAAGGTCTTCCAAAATTTCCGGCATTCGGTTTAGGGTTTAGGGTTTAGGGTTTGGGGTTTTAGGGTTTAGGGTTTAGGGTAGGGTAATTCATACCGTCGACCTATCGCTGCTTCCGAAAAAGAAGCAGTTTTCCGCAGCCTGCACGAAACCTTGGATTTGGAGAAGCCCCCACATCCGATCTCCGACGACCAGTGAGATGATCGACTACCATGCATCGTGGGGTTAAGGTTTAGGGTTTAGGGTTTAGGGCTTAGGGTTTAGGGTTTAGGGTTTAGGGGTCAGGGCTGAGGGTTTAGGGTTTCGAGTTTGGGGTGAGGTGTGGGAGGAAGTGACCACACCCTAGTCAGTTTGAAGCCCCCGAATGCAACCAACGACATCCCTGCGCCCTCCGCATTCAGCTGCTTCACGGCTTTCCTTTCGATGCCAAAAGAACCATGCCTCTCCGCAGAAGACCCTAAACCCTAAACTCTAAACCAAGCATCTGGGCCCTGCGACCCTCAACGCCTAAGGCTAGTGTACCCAGACTCCATTATCCCTTAATTAAGGAATATACCTTAAATTTTAATCGGAACCCTAATAAGATTTAAGGAATATTCCTTAATTAAGGAGTATTGGAGTCTGTGGGTAAGAGATTGCCAGATGTCTCTTGATGTCGATGTGACGCTGCTGAGCGGGAAATCGGCACAGATTTCCGCCCCAGGTGGTTGCACTGTTGACGAGTTCAAGCTTAAAGCGCAGACTGTTCTGCAAGTTGGACGGTGCAGATTGGTCAGCGTCTCTGGTCATGTACTCTGCGGCGAGGCTACACTTGGCCAATCGGGTGTAAAAAGCGGAGATATCCTGACCTTACAGGTGCAGCAGATGTCTTTGGCAGCTACAGCAGACAGTTTTGCAGCTATCCTGGGGGATGGATGCGTGGTAACCTGGGGCGGTTCTAGTGCTGGGGGTGACAGCATGGCAGTGAAAGATCAGCTGAAGCTGGGTTTTGGAGTGGTGTGCATGCATCTCCGTGTCTATGTGTGTGTGTGTGCATGTATAACGTATCCGCATATATGGTTTTAGGTCTAGGTATGGATAACGCAAGGTTCACTAACTTGACACACTGTAAATTACTAAGTACACGGATCGGTGAGTATCTATCTGTATGTTCATTCCGTCCTTCTCATTTGTTGCTTGCTGGCTTGCTTGCTTGCTTGCTTGCTTGCTTCCTTACTTCCTTACGTACTTACTTACTTACTTACTTACTTACTTACTTACTTACTCACTTACTTACTCACTTACTTACTCACTTACTTGCTTACTTACTTCCTTGCTTGCTTACTTACTTATTTACTTATCTATCTATCTGTCTATCCCTGTACCTATCTATCTACCTATCTATTTCCCTATCCATCTAACTATCTATCTATTTATCGAACTATCTATCTCTATATTTCTCTGTCTATCGATCTATCTATCTGATCTATCCATCTATCTATGTATCTATATATCTATCCATCTATCTATAGATAACTATAGAATTGTATAAACAGATATATATATATATATACATATATATATATACATATATATATATAGATATACATATACATATATAGATATATACACATACATATATAGGCATGTACAAGTGCATGTATGTCTACATCTATGTAACTATTTATGTGTATATCAATATACACACACACATACATACATACATACATATATATATACATACATACACACACACATATATATATTAATATATTATTAATAATAATAATAGTAAGTTTTCTCATTATATACATATATATGTATAGGTCTGTTAATGTACATACATATATATGAATGTGTGTATGTATGTGTGTGTGTATATATATATACACATGTATATGTATTTGTATGATCGGTAGACGGATAGATAGATTCCGTGTCGGATGCCAAGTCCCAGGAAAGATGTTCAGAAGATCCAGGCAACAGAGCGGGCCTTTGCCGCACTCCTCCCTGATGGACACGTCGTTACCTGGGGTGATGCCGTATCTGGGGGCGACAGTGGGCCTGTGACTCGGTTCTCCACTACCACTCGTGTTAGCACAACCGAACTTTGGGAGCTTCTTGTCAACGGTGTAGTATTGTTGGACTTCTTCTACTTCCTTGGTCTATATAAGTAAGGTGAAGGACCTACTGAAGAACGTGAAGCAAATCCAAGCCACTAAAACGGCATTTGCTGCTATTCTGGGCGATGGATCGGTGGTAGCATGGGGTGACCCGCGCTACGGAGGTGATCACAGTGCCGTCAAGGAGCAGCTGAAAAGGGTGCAGCATATCCAGTCCACAGGAACTTCATTCGCTGCTATTCGTGACGATGGATACATCGTAACATGGGACTATGCTATCTTTGGAGGTGACAGTAGCTCGGTAAAGGGACGTCTGAAGGATGTGCAGCAAATCCAGGCGACAATGCACGCCTTCGCCGCTATACTACGGAATGGAACTGTGGTGACTTGGGGAGATGCTCGTTTCGGTGGTGACAGTGGACTTGTCCAGCAGCAGCTACAGAATGTGCAGCACATCCAGGCCACCGAGCGTGCCTTCGCTGCTATTCTGGGAGATAGATCTGTAGTGACATGGGGTGATCCTTTCTCCGGCGGCGACTGCAGCTCTGTGAAAGAGCTTCTAAAGGATGTGGAGCAGATCCAGGCTGCGTACTATGCGTTTGCTGCGATCCTAGCGGATGGATCCGTCGTGACTTGGGGGGACCCCCGCTTCGGGGGTGACAGTTCCTCGGTTAAGGAGCTGTTAAGACACGTACAGCAGATCCAAGCTACGGAGAGGGCCTTCGCTGCGATCCTTCAGGATGGATCTGTCGTGACTTGGGGCGATGCTCTTGCTGGTGGGGACAGCCGTGCCGTCAAACCCCTTCTGAAGGATGTGCAGCAAATCCAGGCCACAGACTCTGCATTCGCTGCGATCCTGGGTGACGGTTCCCTTGTGACCTGGGGTGATGTCTTTCGGGGCGGCGACAACAGTTCCGTCAAGGATCAGCTCAGGACTGCAGCTGCTGGCACGGATTTCACCACCGAGGCCTGCAGTGCTCCACAGTGCCAACAGTGTGAACCGATGGCGAACATGATAAAGGCTCGATTCAGCCGTGCTTCTGCTTAATTACACTACGCCCTAAACCCTAAACCCCAGCCCTTTCTTTCAAACAACTGATAGGAGTCGAACTGTTCGCAGACGGTTGTTCCTTGATGCCGTTTTCCTGCCGCACGTGCCCCAAGCCGAGTTAGATTCGTTCCACTGCCGTAGCCCACAAGATGGTCCGGCCTCTAAATCGAAGCGGGATGTAGTCGGTACCAGGCTCGGGTTCCAGGGTCTAGGGGGTTCCTTATCATCAGCATAATCTATCTATCTATCTATCTATCTATCTAGCTAGCTAGCTAGCTAGCTAGCTATCTATCTATCTATCCATCTATCTATCTATCTATCTATCTATCTATCTATCTATATATATATACACTATACACATATATATATACACACACTCCTAAGCTCTTTCTTATTATTAAGGCCCCTACATTAGCTCACCAGGGTATTCGTTGGCTAGATTGCCATTCGTTTCTGTAGTCTTGTGATGCACCTGGTACACACCAGACCTTCCAACATCCCTGAATTAAGGAAGGTACCTCAAATCCTATCAGGGATCCCACCCTACTCATAATTTAATTTAAGGCATATAGCCCTAAACCATTAACCCTTAAGCCTTAACCTTAAACCCTTAACTGTAAACCCTAAACCCTAAACCCTTACTGAAGGGATATTGGAGCGTCAGGGTTCAAGACCACTCCCAGCAACATCGCGCAGAGCGCAGAGTTGAAACCCCAAGCAACCGCAGCAGGCTGAACCCTATAGGGTTTTGGGCTTTGGGCTTTAGAGTTTAGGGTTGAAGGTGTAGGGCTTTAGAGTTTAGGGTTTAAGGTTTAGGCCTTTGGGGTTTAAGGTTTTGGGTTTGCTTAGGGCTCTAGGGTTTAGGGTTTAGGGTTGAGGGTTCAGGGCTTAGGCTACAAGGGCCTGGGCTTCGACGCAGCGATCACCCGAAAACCTAAAAGCCCTAAGCCCTATAAACCCTAAACCCTAAACCCTAAACCCTAAGCCCTATAAACCCCGAACCCTCCAAGTCGTAGCCTTCGGTTCCAACTTGGTGGTTGGGATTCGAGGACTCTGTCGGCTTCCGAGGGCCGAAAATTACCAATAAAGACTTACTTTAGGAGGGTTTAGGGTTTATATAGGCGGATTAGGGTTTAGGGATGAGGAGATAGGGTTTTGGTGTGTGCTATAATCGGTTTCGAATCAGGGGTCCTGACGGGAACAGGGATAATCTTGGATTACGCTCTTGAGGGTTCTCGTGGACGGTACGAGGCTTCCCCCAAAACCCTGGGGCTTGAAAATCCGAAATCCCCAAAAGCACGTTCAAGCAGAGCTCTAACGACTCTAGCGAGAATCCTCCATGTGTCTGAGTTGGAGTGTCTAGCTCTGGATATCTGAGTGTTTGAGCGTCTGGCTGTCTGGGACTGGGTGTCTGACTGTGTGCGTGGTTTAGGGTTTAGGGTTTAGGGTTTAGGGTGTCTGGTTTTCAGTTTTCGCGCCAGTTGCATGCTCGCTCGAAAACTTTTTTCTTCGCAGCCGAGAGCCCTGCATAAACCTCTGAAGCAACCCCTGAACCCTGTGAACCAAACCCTCTGTGGAGTTCTGAGGTTCAAGATTTTGGGCATGATGCTTCTGGAGCAGCATGTTATCGCCTGTTTGTGGCCGCAGCCCCAGATCATAGACGAGTCGGAAGCATTAGGGTTCCGAAGAACGATTTTAAAGACTATGGCGTGCCCCGAAAGCCCCCCTTATAGTCCCCAAAACTATCTGCAAACCATGGTGCCTTCTGGGATGAATCGCTGGTTCAGAGTTCAGGACTTAGGCTTAAAGGCTTCAGGGATTTGGGTTTTCAGTTCTGGTTCTGGGTTTCTCGCATTTTGGGTTGGAATCGGTGGGATTATCTGGTCTACACCAAAACAGCTGAGCCCTAAGACCTACAGTGCTTTTTTGAACAGGGGTGTTACAGATAACCAACAACCGTGGCAGGATTTAGGGCTTGAGGTTTGTCATTCGTCGAACTTTCCGGTTTCGGTCTTGTTTTCGGAATTTTCCCCTTTCAGCTATTGGGCTTTGACACAGGAGTTTGAGCAAGCTAAAATTTATAGCCCCTTAGTCGCATAGAATTCCCACCGGAACTAGTAGCATAGAATTCCAACCGGAAGTCGCTTGTAATAATTGTGGTGCCCTATACTAACACCCCTATGAGGAATATAGAGCTGTCTGTTTGCGATCGGACCTTGTGCAAATCCTTGGTCTTATCGGACCTCTTGCAAACACTTACGAATTCGTGTGTCATGAATGATGCTAGAGGTTTCGGTTGGTCGTCTATAGAAGCCAGTAAGAAAGCATGAATCACGTGCCGGGATCATTTGGCCTGGTAGAGCCGTATAAAGTCACACCAAGAAGTATACTAATTTTTTTTGGTTCTAGCAAGACAGACCATTGAGCACCCTTCTAAACCCCTTAGCAAACCCTTATGAAACCTTTCTAAAAGTCCTCTACAGCCTTGTGAAAGCCTTGGTTCAGCCCTAAACCCTACCTTAACCTACCAAAACCTACTTGTTCGTAGGTCCTTATCAAAAACCCTGATATGGAATTTATAGGGAGACCCTATAAAAAGTAGGTTTTGGTTGGTTAAGGTAGAGCCTGAAGAAGCTTCGGGGGTTCGATACGGAATAAAGGCCTGGAGTTCGAGGTTTAGGACATTAGGGTTTAGGGGGTTAGGGTTTAGGGGTTTAGGGGTTTAGGGTTTAGGGGTTTAGGGTTTTAGGGTTTGAGATTTGATTTTGGGATAGGGGCTTCCAGCAGAGTTAGCATCAGAGCTGCTTGGC